TTTTTTTTTTTTTTTTTTTTTTTTTTTCTTAATGAAGCTGGTTTTTGTTTTGTTTTGTTTGGTACCAGAGGCACTTGACCACTGAGGCACATCCCCAGCCCTTTTTTATATTTTATCAGAGACAGGGTTTTGCTGAGTTGCTTAGGGCCTCACTAAGTTGCTGAGGCTGGCTTTGAACTTGTGATCCTCCTGCCTCAGCCTCCCAAGCTGCTGGGATTACAGGTGTGCACCACTGCGCCTGGCTTGTTTCTAGTTTTTAAATACTGATTTAAATAGCAAATAAAACTGTCCCCAAACATTCGCTGTGAAGGATTCATAAGGCATTGTTATCATTAACCAGTCTCTTCCATTGGTAACCCATTAGCACACGGCTTTCCAGGTCATTGACTATGACATACGTCTCCTCCCTCGGATGCATGGCAGCTCTTTACAAACTGAGAGGGGACACAGCCCTGGTCCCCAACAATTCTTCAGTAACATTCCTCTAGCTCACCAAATTATTCTCTAGACCTCACTATTGTTGCAAGTTTCAAGCTCCAGCCTTAACCAAACATGAGGGTGTTCTTTGGAAGGACCACAGCCACCCTTGATCCAGACACTAAGCTCCTAATTTTAATTATTATATATTATTAATGCATATGTAAAATAAAATATATAAAATACAAAATATTAAATATTTAAGAGTACATATAATAAATTATATTAAATAAAATATAATAAAATATTACATATAAATATATAATAAAATATATAAAATATTATTCTATAAAATAAATAAATATAAAAATATATAATATATAACATATATGTATTATATATTTTTAAAATATGTATAAAAACATAAAAATATCGTACATAAAATATATATAAATAAATAATATTATAAATAAATATTTATATATTATATATAACATATATAAATAAATTATATCATAAATATTTATATATTATGTGTAACACATCTGATTTTATTTCACGTACATATTTTAATTTATATATTTAAGTCAACGTCGTCCTAATAGCACCTTCTCTCTCTCTCTCTCTTCTCCACAGCTTTTTGCCATCTTTGCATTTGCAACATGTGGTGGCTACTCTGGAGGCCTTCGGCTAAGTGTGGACTGCGTCAACAAGACAGAAAGTAACCTCAGCATCGACATAGCATTCGCCTACCCCTTCAGGTAGGGCATGGCCGTTTGCTCCCCAGCTTCGCAAAGAGGGGGCTTTCTTCCATCGGGGGTTTCTCCCAGGGGCTTCTGGGTAAACTTAAAGGACTCTGCTCATACCCTGAGATTCCCAAAGGGGTGTTCACCCACTTCCCCACCCTGGGAGGATCATGAGTCGTACCTGCAAGTCAGAATGGACTGTCCTCCGAAACAAAACAAAACAGAAAAATACCCCCAACAAAATCAACTTATTACCCAGGATATTGGGGGCTATCAATACAGTTACCCTCCATTCCATTTCTCCATCCTTAAGTTCCCCAAATTCTCTCCAGATTTGTGTCACCTTTCATATCCTATTGACTATGCAGTTCTGGCTATTTAATGCATTTAATAATATTAATACTGAATACTTTTCCATGGGCCGGACACTTTGCTCAGCTGGTTCACCTGAGTAATTGCATTACATCATCACACTGACCCTGAAGGGTGTACTATCACCCTCTCCATCTGCAAATGAGGAAACTGAGGCACAGGTGTGTTTGCTCATATTCCCTTAGCCAGTGAGAGATGGGGTCAGTGTTTGAGCCCCCCTGTCTTGAGCCAGGGCTCGGATCTCTATTGATACACTTAAACTATGAGAAATGTAAGCCTCTTTACAAATTCAGCATGAAAGACAATGCCTTATCTATGTTTGTGTCCTGTATACTAAATGATAGCTCAATGCCTATTCCAAACCTCACATCTTTTGATTCCGATCCATATAGCCAAAATGGATTAATTGAACTCAAGGCAAATACGATTAATTTATGTAAAACTCCCATATAATTGGCATCAAATTACGGGTGTGTTTTTCAAAAACAACATACAATTCATTATATTGACATCTTGTTAGTATACTCTCCTATTCCTTTCAACTAATGAATGTTTGCTAGTATTCATTTTGTACCAAGCATGGTGCTGGCGCTATGATTACAGAAAATGAGTAAAAATTAACACCCCCACATTAAAAAAAAAACAGATAAGTACAGTGTTTTTCAAGACTATTTTCATGGAGACCTAGATAACTAATGTTACTAAGTGGAAAGAAATGAAGGAGGAAAAATAGGAAAGGAGAAGAGGTGGGAGAGAAAAAGAAAGAGTCACTGGGAGGAAGAATTTTAAAGTAGAATCAAATCTAAGAAATACTTGTTAGCACTTTTTTTTTTTTTTTTTTTTTTTTTGCTGAGGATTGCACCCAGAGGTTTTTTTTTCCTCAGCCACATCCCAGCCCTTTTTTTAATTTTTTTTTTTTTTTTTATTTTGATACTGGGTCTTGCTAAGTTGCTTGGGACCTCACTAAGTTTCTGAGACTGGCCTCAAACTTGCAATCCTCCTGCCTCAGCCTCCCCAGTCACTGGGTATACAGGTGTGCGCTGCCACGCCTGGCTAGCACTTTATCCTTCTAATGCTCATTTTGAAATCATCTAAAGAAGCACAGTATTCCCCCCCAAATACACAAAAACTCATTTTTTTCCCACTGGATATCTCAGAGGCTTTGTATATCATGGAATGTACCTTTTAAATGTTGGTCTATCAAACTTTTCCTAGTCTAAGACAAAGCGGCCTCAATTCATAGGTAATGAATCACAGAGAAGTGACATTTTTACCAATATTCTGACTGTTAAATTTTAAGATTTGCAGACACCCTTGCACCAGGACTGTTTTTAACAATTACAGAGTAGAGCTCAGAAATACTAAGCATATCATCCCTGGCAATCCGGTCATGATAGCTATGCTGTGCTGGTGGACATGGGCTGGGGGTTTTTGACACTTCTGAAAGTTCTAGATGAAGCCTTTGGCTTGTGGAGGAGAGTGGCCATGCTGATGCCTGCTCACCGAAGAGCATTCATGATCTAGGGTCAGAGTAGAGAATTGGCAATGGACAGGAGATGGGCATTGGATGTTTACTAACCTCAGTCAAGAATTCATTAAGTCAGAGCCAGAATTCATTAGGTCAGAGCCAGTAGTGGTGGTGCACGCCTGTAATCCCAGCAGTTTAGGAGGCTGAGACAGGAGGATCACGAGTTCAAAGCCAGCCTCAGCAACAGCGAAGTGCTAAGCACCTAGTGAGACCCTGTTTCTAAATAAAATACAAAATAGGGCTGGGGATGGGGCTCAGTGGTTGAGTGTCCCTGATTTCAATCCTTGGTATCCCTCCCCACCCTGCAAAACATGAGCTTGAAGCTCTGGGCTGGTCCTCCTGGGCTCTCTTCCTCTTCCACACAAATGGTCCATCCCCATCATCCCATACCCTACAGACTCTCCAATACCTCTTGGGAAGCCCCAGTCTCCTAAAAGCAATTTAAAATCTACAGTTCAGGAAGAAAGGAGCCTTTTATAACAGGATCTCAGCAACTTATCCAGGCCCTGTCTCTAAATAAAATGGGCTTGGGATGTGGCTCAGTGGTCGAGTGCCCCTGAGTTCAATCCCTGGTACAACAACAACAACAAAACAACAACAAAAATTAAAATACTGGGGGTGTAACTCACTGGTAGAATGCCCCTGGGTCCAGTTCTCAGTAAGGCAAAAAATTCATTTGCTCCTAAAACTTCACAAGCCAATGCCAATGATTTGCTCATAACCTGAGAAATAAGAGCATTCAGTGTCTTCTGTTCAGTTCATCGCAAAAATGAGGACAACAAATTCAAATGCCAAGTCATCTGAACAAAAACAGTTATTTTGCAAATGAAAGATCAAAGAAAGCTACTGAAGTTGTTATCAGACAAATATTCAGGATGTAAAATAATGTCAATTAGAAAAATCCTAGCTAACTCACAAAATACCCAAGTGCTGCTTTTGATAACTTGGCCCAAATATGCAATTCCTTTTCCACCTCCATACATGTGTATTTTTGACTTATGCCTTTCTTTTGGGGCAGAGGGTACTGTAGATTAAACTCAGGGGCACTCGGCCTCTGAGCCCCATCCCCAGCCCTATTTTATATTTGATTTAGAGACAGGGTCTCACTGAGTTCCTTAGCACCTCACTGTTGCTGAGGCTGGCTTTGAACTCGCAATCCTCCTGACTCAGCCTCCAGAGCCTCTGAGATTACAGGCATGCACCACCACCATGCATGGCTTGACTTGTACATTTATCAGAAAGAATTTCCATTCAACAACCTGTTATTTTACTGTGGAGGGAAAACATTTTTTTCACCTGGCCTTCCTTTTGATTTGCGAGTAAAACACATAGTTTTCTCATCCACTATAACATGCTCTGTTGGTATGCAGTTTGCTTGATGAATTGGGAGTAGGGTCCTTCTGGACTCAGTACTCTGACTACTTTCTTTATAAGCCAAAGCATGAAATGCTAGGCAGCCATTGAAAGTCATTTTCTCAATATTTAAAGATATGTAAATATCAATGAAAGATCAGTAGAATAGAGGAAAGGGACCAGGGGTGAGAAGGGGTGGGGGGAGTGCTGGAAAGTGATACTGACCAAATTATAGGGTTCTATCATGTGCATGGACAGATATGTAGCAACAATCCCACCATTATCTCCAGTACAATGCACCAATAAAAAAGTGGGGGGGGAGGAAAGATATGTGAAATACACTCTGCATAGAATACAAGACTATATACGGTGTCATGATTCTGATTTGTTTTATACAGGCAGGCTGGAGCAGATATTACCACTGCCGTCCATCTGCTCTATCTCCATACCATTCATGCCTACCCTTCTCACTATAAGCCCCCATAACCATTAAATATTTTTCTTTTTTGGGGGGGGGCAGGGATGGTTACCAGAATTGAACCCAGGTGAGTTAACCACTGAGCCACCTCCCCAGCCCTGTTTTGTATTTTATTTAGAGACAGGGTCTCACTGAGTTGCTTAGGGCCTGGCTTTTGCTGAGGCTGGATATGAACTTGCCATCCTCCTGACTCAACTTTCTGAGCCACTTGGGATTATAAGTGTGTGCCACTGCATCTGGCAAATATTTTTGTTTATTGCAGAATCTTGACTGATCAATAGGCAGGACAGGCCAGAAATCCTGGGAAGTTAATGTCCCCTACAGTAGCCTTCATGCAATGACCAATGTGAGAGAGGTTAAGTATTCCACTTTCCTTAGCTCTTGGGTGGTACAACTCTAAGGCATATTCTGTCCCCTTTGCAGGGTCACTCAGCAGGCTGACTCCACCTACAGTGCAGATCTGATCACTAACAAGCTTTGATTATCTTCTTTTCCTGTCCAGTCTTACTTTGCAATTGTCCTGTTGGTGTTTGTAAAGATGAATCCTCTCCAAATGAGTTGCACTCAAATCCTGACCTCAGGGTCTGCTCCTAAGAGGTTGAACCTAAGATGCTGGCATTGCTTGAGAAATTTATCATCATTAAGGAAGATCGATCAATCAATTAATCAATCAAGTAGATCCTCACTTACTCTACCTATGAATCATGTTACAAAGTGTTGCATATGCCAAACTAACTAACAAACAAAAGCTTAGCTGTGTAATGTTGAGAAAACTCATTTATCATTCCTGTTCCTTGTCTGTGGAACAGAGATGGAATGACCTCTTTCACAGTACCGTTATATACGTTAAATGAAATATATGCAAAATGTTTAAAATAAGGCCTGGCATTTGGTGAGTTTTCTTTTAGAACATTATTTTTATTTCATAATCAAGTAAGAGTAATTAAAAATAAACGAGAAAGCTAAAAAATAATTATTCTAGTTAATTCACAAACAAATGACGTGCTCCATCCCCAGCCCTTTTTAATGTTTTATTTGGAGACAGGGTCTTGCTAAGTTGCTCAGGGTCTCACTAAGTTGCTGAGGCTGGCTTTGAACTCACGATTCTCCTGCCTCAGCCTCCCAAGCTGCTGGGATTACAGGCATGTGCCAACACATCTGGCCAACCTTTTCCTTACCTTGTATTTTATCCAGAATCAGACCAACTCCCATCATAAGCAGAGCCTATATGCAAACACTAAAATGTGCACCTATTCTATCCCCTCACATTGATTGACTTGCTTT